GCTCCGTGTGACCTTTGGCTATTTCTCAAGCTGAAAATGCCGCTAAAAGGAACCCAAATTTAGTCGAGAGAAGACATCGTGCGAAATGCGACGGACCGGCTGATAACCATTCCAAAAGATGCGTTCCAGCAGTGTTTCCAGCAATGGCAGAAACGCTGGGAGAAGTGTATACATTACCAAGGAGACTACTTTGAAGGGGATTAGGGTTTTGTTCCTCAAAGTCAATAAATTTATTTTTGCCGACCAAAGGTCCGATACTTTTTGAACAGACCTTGTATATACGTAATAAAACTCGTGTCCCAAAGTTTTAAATTCTTCGTAACAAAGATTAGACATAATGTAAACATGAGTTCTATTTTTTAAATGTATAATAATTAAAAAAATGTATTTCAAGTATAAATTTTGGATATTGATACGAAAATATTTAATGGCTAATTTTTGAAAGTCCACATTGGTCGAGTGAATAAAATCACTGAAGGCATTGACAATTGGTGGTGGGTTTTCATCTCGTCAATGGGCTGGAGGCATGGAATTTTGTGGATTTTCTTCACTTGTCTAACACTTAAATAGGGATCAGTTTCCCATAGAAAATCCTCCCGAGAGGCATCCCTCTTTGGCAGATTTAAACCAAACCAGGCCATTTATTACAAAACAAATAAAGGAATCAGTAACATTTTATCTCCCAATGTCAATTGATCTGTATAAAGATGGATAAATCTACCAGGATTAATTAAGAATATATAAAGTTACATTTAAAATTTCAGATGGATAACACTCTAAAAGAACTTAATTAATCTACTTTTATACTTGTTATTTTTATATTTCCACTAGATGTTTTATTGTTTTCAGCTAAATCTGTTTAAATATTTAAATGTAAGTGACACTGATTGTCACTGACATTTTAAATATTTAAACAGATCCATTATTATAAATTTTGTTTTTAAAAAATATATTCATAAATTAAATTTTAAAATTTGTTTTATTTATTTAATGCTCTTTAATTATAACCTTGGCATTTTCATTTTGAAGAAAATTTTGTAGTCTGTATAAAGGAAGAGTCTTCTATTTTAATGATATTTCTGTTCGCAATCATTTGCATAAATCCAGAATAGGTACTTATGAGAATTGGTCAAATTGACATCGTTAAATTCTGTTAAACTTCTTTCATGCAATTAATTTTTTTATTCTTTTATAGAATTTTTCTGTCGTCTGACTTTAATTTTGAACATAAGTCTAATAGCTTTCCAAAATTTAGGCTACAAATTGTTGGCTATTGTTGGCAAAAAATAGCTTACAAAATTTAGGCTACAAATACAGTCGACAAATTGTTGGAACAATACGTCTTTTGGTATCATCTCCCTAGCTAGCAATTACACAGTGACGGTTGAAATACAAAACAGTTATGTAGTTGGTTTGTACTGTACGTACAGAAGACACAGAATTGTTACTAGGAAAACTAGTATATGCTTAAGCAGTTTTGAACATTTTTCTAATTCTTTTTTACAGGTAATTGCTATTTGTGTCTCTTAGCTCGTTTTTCTACAGGCTACGGAACTGCACGAAATGAGCACTCGTGTTGGTGTGTGTCCAATGTTGCAAACCATTTTAAAGCACTCTCTCTACATTTATAAGAGTCAATTTATAAATAATTAATACGGATATTTTAAGTAAATATATATAACGTTTAAAGACGTCCTTGCATTTAGCAATGGGAATGGCAAAGCCCGAAAGCGAGGTCTTCTCGAGCAATGTGATGAGCGACGACAGAATTGTCGCTGGTGCACACAACTCTTCGAATGCACTAGGTCAGGGATCGCCAAACTGTCGACCCCCAACCACTTTCCAAAACCTCACATTGACCCCCACCGTAAAGTTTTATTATAAGTATAAGTGTATAAGCAAAATAAAAAAACAAACGTTGTGATTTCTGATATCTGTATAAGCAAAAAAAAAAGGTTGTAACCCATTGTTACATCGACCCCCTAGTCGCATCGACCCCCTAGCCGCATCGACCCCCTAGCCGCATCGACCCCCCAGTGATGTTGCATCGACCCCTCGGGGTCGATATAGACCACTTTGGCGACCCCTGAACTAGGTCAATCTTAGTTTTAACATAAGAATACCGCCACATTGTTGTAGCTTTCCACAACTCAAACAACTGTTGAAACAGTTTTGTCGTGTCGTCGCCATTATACGTGCTTGCATACGCGAGTTAATGAATATATCGTAATGTCAAGTGTTTTCAATAATTTGTCAACTGTGTAAACACAGACTTTGTTTGTTTTGCTGTTTTAATGCAAGGATCCATCACATTGTAGTTTATACAGCCGCCCACAATTGAGTGTGGCAGATACGCAATTGGTTGACCGGAATAAGCAACAATGTCTCGACTTGTACTATGATAAATCATGGACATCAAGATGGGTAGAACCACGATCTCTCAGCTTCTATAGGATAACAGCTCATTTGGCCGATCATCCTAACTTGCAGATCTGAAGTGACGAATTTCCTACTTGTATCAATATGATAGTTAAATCAGTACAAGCATGATGATATTAGTTTTAAGTGGCTCAATTTATTTAAATTTTTTAATAAATGAATGATGAGGAAATTAAAAATATTAGTTTTATTAGTCTATACCAAAATTGTACGATACGTTAAGTACCAGATGATTTCTCCTTACATGCCACAGGTTTTCAATCCCTATATTAGTCCTACTTGTTTAATCCATTACATAATTATCTATATTTAAATATTTTTTTTAGTGTTGCATATGGTACTAAAGATATTCGGATTGAAGGAGTTTCATATAAAATTCATGTCTGGGATACGGCTGGAGAAGAACGGGTATTTTCTTCTTTTAGAATTAATAAATATATATATACAGTATATGTACTGTACTTAAAGTAGTTTAATTATTATTATATTTTTTAATTTCAGTATTATTCAATGATACCTCTATATTATCGGAATACAAATGCTGTTATAGTTGTTTACGATATAACCAATCCGGTAAGTATATAGAATTTAGATAAAAATTCTTATACAGTAGAGCGTCGATTTTCCGAATCAATTGGGGACTGGGGTTGTCCGGATAACTGATATTTCGGATAACTGATTTACGTATGAAAAAATAGTTTAACGTATCCGACGTCGAAATTTTTCTCCGTTGCGTGTCGCTTCGCGTTGAATTTTCGTCGATGTTAAGCCTAACGAAGACTATTGTATCGTTAAAAATTATTTTTTTATTTTTTACNAGTAGCCAAAGATTGAAGCGTCATAGCACTGGCGAAAATTTAAATTTGCCGATTGGAATTCTTTCGGATGATTGACTTTCGGAAAATCGACGCTCTACTGTATTAGAAAATTTATTACAAAATATATCGATATTTAATTGGCATACTTAAAAGTTCTTTTTTAAAACTTTTTTCCAAGAAATTTTAATTGGTACACGTTTAACGTTTTAAAGTTTAAACTGATTATTGCTAAGTAACCTTGTTCTCATGCGTACTTTCTATTTTTTTTTAATTATACACTGAATATACCCATTTGTATACATTTTTTAGGGTTAAGGCAATAAAGAATATCTTGCAACACTTGGGCAATCTGCAAAGGGAGGTGCTTTCTGGAAGGACTTTACTATAGAAGGCTGGCACTTATTTAGGTGTTACACAAACTCCACTTGGCCAATCTGTTGGCCAGGCGCGAAACCCTAACTGTCAGGTGATTTTATCTAGAGATTGGGCCACTTTTTACCTGAGAAGAAAAGACGTTACAGATTGTTTGTTTGTTAGAAAATGTAAAGGAACTTTTCCGTACAAAAATTTGAGCTTCTATTTTTGTTTTTGAATAGATGATATTTTATATAGCATACAATCGTTTGGATGTTATTATTAATAGAGAGGTTGTGATCGACGTTTTCAACGTGAAAACGTGTACGTCGGATGTTCAGCGCCGCTTTCCTATAAGCCTAGAAGTTTGACAATGGTGTTTGGATAGTCAGTGGAATCATGCTCGACATTCCAAACACCATTGCCAAACTTCTAGGCCTTCAGGAAAGCGGCGCTGAACGTCCGACGTACACGTTTTCGCGTTGAAAACGTCGGCCGCAACCTCTCTAATGATCTATTAAAAATAAATATTCTTAATAGATCATTAATAGTACATCATTTATTTATAACAATTTAAATATAGTTGCATTTTTATTCAAAATAAATTTTCTTTACGTACAATTTCCTGATATAGTAGCGAGGTTGCTGCCGAAGTTTTCATCTCTCAAACGTGAACGTCGAGCGCCGCTATCTTGTAAGCGGCATTCGATGTTCACGAAAACTTCAGCCGCAATATCTCTAGTGATAGTCTTCGTTAATGTAAATAGTCATCTCTTTTCGGATCGAGTTAATGAATTTTATAGATAAATTCTATTGTGAGAACCGGGGGGGGGGGTTAGTTGTCCCCACTTACCGGCGGCTCTGTCAGAGGATGGCTTTATAGGAGGACAAAATGAAATGAGTGGGGAGGTTAATGAGTAAGTTGACAGGTTCCAAATAATATACACAGGTTGAACAAGAATAACACATTTAATAAACAACTATAAAATTGTACATATCAAAGGCGAAAGTGAAGAGTTACAAAAATTCTATTCTACGTCGCGATAATGATTCGTCTTTCATATGGAACATCTAATCTCTATTCTCTAAGTTAAAAGACGAGAGAGAGACCTCTCGGGGAGAGACTTCGCAGAGAGAGAGTATACAAATAGAGGTATTTTTTTTTTATATCTAAGTTCCCGATCCGTAATATGGGTCGTTGGTAAAAACGTTCCTGGATCGTCACGGCAGTTATGGCGAGGTAGCGACGGATAGGGTTGACGGGATGTGGCAGTCGACCTCCGCCCTGGAGGTGTCCGCCCTCTTTATACTAATTTTGAGGGGGTGAGAACTATGACATCATTAATGATTTATACGCACACCTGTTAGTGTGTTGATGTCTGGATCTAGCTAGTACGGACCACTAGCACAGAGAAGTTTGTTTAATTTATTAATATTGGTGTCCAGAAGATATGACTTTTTATAATATAAATTTCTATAGGTTTGACGGCTCTCGTCCATAAATTAACATTCAGCTGACAATAATTTCTTTAACCTGGTTAACAACCTCTCTATTAGAGAGGTTGCGGCCGACGTTTTCAACGCGAAAACGTGTACGTCGGACGTTCAGCATTGCTTTCCTATAAGCCTAGATGTTTGACAATGGTGTTTGGATAGTCAGTGGAATCATGCTCGACGTCCCAAACACAATTGCCAAACTTCTAGGCCTTAGGAAAGCGGTGCTGAACGTCCGACGTACACGTTTTCGCGTTGAAAACGTCGGCCGCAACCTCACTATTGTTTATATCAAACGTCGCGTTTGACTACGAACGAGGCGATTTAGGCTATTGCTGTAACTACGTGTCACGTGCAACCAAAGAGGGGATAAGAAACATCTCTTTATTTCCGTCTTGTTGATATTAACGTCTATAGAATTACCTTAAACAAATGGAGGAGATTTCTTTTTATTGATATATTAACGATTTTTTTCGAGGAGATCGTCTCGGTTATCGACCGCAGAAGGCCCCCTTTTTCCCTTTTCACCTAATCACGAGGTTTATTAGAGGGGTGATACTGTTCTAAAACAAAAGGGTTTTGGACCTTCACATTATCAATAATACTGATTGTAGTGAAATTTTGTGTGAAATAGTTGTTAAATTTTTAGTACAAAGACTAAAGAATCTGTCGCTTTCAAGTTTAAATTTATCAGCTATGCCCATAACTTAAGTATACCCATGTTTATTCAAAAATAAATAAATAAATAAATAAATAAAATAATAATAATAATATAGAGAAGAAACAACTTAGTATTTTTGTAAGTTTATGGCTTACATAATTTTTAATAATGCTTAGGGATGGTCTACGATGATTTTTATAAATAATTAGGATAATCAAGCGATTTATTTCTGAAAATGTAACTATCAAATGTAAATTTTGAAGTCGGAGGAACAAGTTTCTAATTTAACCTTTTCTTCTGTCGGAATTCTACAGAATCCTTTTTATATACCTTTTTCATATCTAATAGGTTACCACAATCAATGCTGATTTTTAAATACTGGTATTATAAATAAAACAAAACTAACTGATTTATCTCTGTAATGAATTAAATTAAGCAAATTTTATCTTATTTAGAATTCATTCGCATCAATAAAAAATTGGATAAAAGAAGTCAAACTTTATACTAGTTCCGACCTTATTGTGGCGATAGCAGGTAACAAATGTGACTTAGCAGAAAGTCGAAGAGTGAATGCAAAACGTAAAAATATTTTTATTTTTAATAATTATAATAAAGATATAGTAATATTTACTACAAATTTTTAAATTTGTAAATTTATTGTTTTAGTTGCAAAAAATTATGCGGATGATATAGGAGCATTTTACTTCGAAACAAGTGCGCGAGCAAATATAAATATACAAGATACGTTTTTCAGAATTGGTATGAAATTTTAAAATAAATTTCATAATTGCAAGTATTTTTATTTATTTATTTAATTTATTTTTCGAAATGTAGCTCAAGCGCTTCATCGAAAGATAGCCAATCGCTACTGCGAAATTGAAAAACTAGAAAAAGAAAGAAACCATCAAAAGTGCTGTTGAAATTTTATTTTTAAAATGCAATTAGTATTTTTAACTTGTATATACAAAAAAAAAAAAAAAAAAAAAAAAANATTTTTAACTTGTATATAAAAAAAAAAAAAAAAAAAAAGCTTAAAAACATCCATGAAATCACTGAATTCTATGTATCATATTAATAACAGACAGTCTTGGGGCATGAACACGTTAACTTATTTTTAAATTTCTTAAATGTCTGAATTTACTCTGTATATCGTATAGGTCACAGGTGATTAATTATATTAGTGGCTATTTAGCCCAGTCAATATGGATCTAATCATATCTGCCTTGTGTCTGTAGAAATTCAACAAAGAAATTAAGTTGCCATGTCCTTGTCCCAAGGTGTTTGCTTTCTTCACATTTTCATAAAATTGTATGATTTTTTTATACGAAATAAAGTAAATGATTTTGTAAAATAGTTTAATAACAGACTCATAAATTTGAAATTAAATCTGTTTTTCTAATTAAGAAATATGATCTGACTAAATACAGTATAGCAATGATGTCTATAACTGTATATATAAAAAAAATCACAACAGATTTTACACATTTAAATCAGTTTTTAAGTAATATACATTTTTGACTTAATAGATATCATTTAAATTTAATTAAAATATGATTTAATACAAATAAATATTCTAAATAACAAGTTACATTGGGCTCTTTTCAGTCGTTGTAATTTTTTAAAACAAACATTAGAAGCATACTTTTAATTCACTTTTGAAATGAACTTTCTTCGATTATAGGAAAACTTTACCATTGTTTGTCTATGTCCATCTGGTAACTTCGTACACAAGCGCTACTTTCTAGACCAAACCAACGCTTTTGCTTCATTGATTAACATAAATTATAACGTATTTTGACTATATATAGGACTATATAAATTACATTGTATGTATGTAAGGTAAAGGTATTAAAGTTTCTCGTTTAACTTAATGAAAGGGAGAATTTGGATAGATAATCTCTTTTCCCTGCATGTGTCAAGGGCCCTCAAAAATTGAATTATCATAAGTTTTTAATACTTTTTCATTAACAATGAGCATTTATCGTATAGTTAATATTAATATTAATGATATATAAATGAATTTTAAACCCCCAATTTAAAGATTCTTAATTTAACAAAAAATGGGATCCCATTAGACTTCAATAAGTCCTAGACCCCGAAAAACCTAGATCCGCCCCTGGTAAGAGATTTTCTGTTTTGTCGTTCTATATAGCTTATTTTACTGTTTTTTTTTTCTTAGACATGTGGAGAGATGATTTAAGAGCGCTCGTGCACAGATATAACCACTCCAAGCGGAGATATACACGGTTTAACCTATACTCGATCATCGCATTCATACACTTACACATCAAACACCACTATATGTCAACAAAATAAAAATAACTCGAACACTTGCTTCCTTCAAATGTAATCCCTGGATCCTCGTATTGAAAATAGTAACGCCAATTTTAAAGATTAAAAAACATTAAATTGGCAGCCGAAGAGAACTGGTAAATCATAATTCATATTAAAAGAAATAGACCCACCTGTTAGCGAATCTAATATAATCGAAATGGGTTCATATAATGATAATAATAAACCCAGAGCAAAAACGATTAGGATTTGAAATTTGGTACACAGGGTACGCCACGAGAATGCAAAGTATAAACGGTTTTTTTTTTTTTTAAATTCACCCGGCAGAATGGAGATACAGTTAAAAAATACCTTGAGAAAGTCGCTTTCTACTGTACTATTTTAGGAGTTATATGGGTTTTTGCGAAATATCGAACGTATTTCTGTGCCCATAAGAAAATACTCTAATTAGCGTCAAAAGAAATGAAAAAAAGACAAACTAAATATAAACTACACACTATAATATGATAGTGTTTACAGGTTAGAAGTACAAAATGATATAATAATCTTAATGTTTACTGTTGATGTTTCAACTGACCTACGCTGGGCTAATCTGCTAGCTTTTATATAGGCCTATAGACATCTAAATTATTATTAAATATGAGATATAAAACCTATTAATTGTATAAAAATTATAAAAACATCCCAGACAAAGATAATATAACTCAGAAATAATTGATTTCCAACCTAATTAACTAGTGTGGTTAAAACCGTAAACGGCCGGCGACGGGTAGGTTTCCCTCGGACGTGACATTTTACTTAGAACACGAGGATTAGAAATACAATATTTTAATAAATAAATCAAGAGTTGTGGATTTGAGTCCCATTCTGGACAATTATTTTCTTTCGGAACATTCTAAATTTAATTCTAATTATTAAATTTATTAGGAGAGCAGCTAAAGCATCTACCTCTAGCCAAACTGATTTGTTATCTAATTGGTTATTAGGCTCAACATAACTCAATAGATAATCTGACAGATCATTTGGTAATAGGAATGTGCTGGGTTGTTATTACGTAAATTACACAATCAATCCGCAAGAAGGAAGTGCAGCTACCCATTCTTTCACAGTTAAGAAAATATTGTGGCAATATAAATTAAAACTTTCAGTTGTATGAAATATGTTGTAAATTCCCGATCTTACAATGGGAAACGCAATTGTTTCTAATCAAACCCCAACCACTTGTAATGTAATCTGAATAAATTTTCTTTTTAGCGAAGTTTTACATTTAACAAATATTCTGCCAAATCCGAGAGAAAACAATTTGTTAAAAATAAACTTTCCTTTAAAAAATGCAATTAAAATACTCGAAATATTACATCTATGACGTAAAACTCGTGACGTAACGCGTGACGCATTGCAACGACAAATTCGAATTCGTTCCATTTCGTATTGTTGCCGACGCCATCTTGGAAATTTATGCTTTCCGGAAATTGCGAGTTCTTTTTCC